CCCCAAAACCCCAAAACCCCATGTATGTAATTTAATTAAATTTAATCGATAAAAATAAATATCTGAAATAAAAATGCAAATGAATTCAAACAGACTAAATAACCTCCATACCTAGCTATCATAACACTGGTGTAAGAAGCATAATAAGGAATATGTAGTGTACTGCACTTGTGAAGGAGTATTATTATGCTCTGAATGCTTGAAATCAGTTCAGAATAATCACCACGTGGGCTATCGACATCAAAAGATTTTTGTTTAAGACTATGAAGCCGAGTTACGCTAGCAGATTGAAGCTGCTCACTCTGAACTTAAAGGCATTATTCACAAAGTTGATGAATTCTTATCCACTTATGAAAAACATAGATAAGAAAAAATAGAGGAATTCTTTAATAGTCTTCATCATGTTATAGAGAGACTAAAAGAGGCTAAATTATCATAATTAGAGGAAGTTAAATTAAGGAAAATAAAGGATGAGCTATACAAGAAAGAAAGGGAGATCATCAATTTTGAAGAGTTGCTTGAAGAAAAGAGAATCGTTCAGCTCATTAAGTTAAATGATGAAATAGTTGAATCCTCTGAAAATGTAAAGGAAAGTGATATCCTTACAAACAAGCTTATTAGACATCTAAGGAATCTAAACGTCACTTACACATTTAATGAAGACTAATTGTAAAATAGGATGTTGAAAGTTATAGACGATTAGCTTGTTTATATCTCAATTGAGGATAGTAAAAAGCAAAAGTTCTTCGAGAAATATGCTCAAAGATCTATGTCGTCAATGTAAATGGATAGAGGTATATAAAGTGAAGAAGAGTATGAGTATCAAAGAACCAAGCTAGAGTATATAAAGTCAAGCGATATGGCTCATCCCCTTGCTAATCTTAAGACTAACGGAGCTGTATCTTCTGGCTGTGGCCCATCAAAAGAGGATTATGAGCCTATTGATGAGTTAGTAGATGAAGAAAACTTAGCAGAGTCAGGCATTGCTAGAAATACCTCTAGAGGTGGCCATGGAACCTAAACAAACAACATTTCAGCCTAGAATATTGCATCTCCGACAAGCGATGGAGGAAGAGTTGGGGGACTTAGAAGATTTTTAGGAACCAATTTAGATTAAGATGAGATTGATATGGAAGGAAATACATAACCATATCCAAATATTTAATAAATTCAACCTACTTAGAACACAATAAAACTTGGTCCAGATAGAATATATAACAAACCAGTAAAGATATTTAAGAATTACAATGGAAATATTCATCGAGAGATCCATGAAAAAGATGCTTTGAATATGTTTGAAATGGTAGACTCTGCCTCACCAACTTAAATGATGTATAGCAGTTCGTAATCAGGATCTAATCAAAGGCCTAAAGTCAAACTGAACAGGTCAAATTCACTGAAGAGTACTACTTATAGACATTAGCAATCTCCTAATGTGATGAGATAATCTATATCTAAAGACAGACTTTCAAATATCATAGAGCCTAGTATAACTTAAGTCTAAAGCTATGGATTATCTTCTGGCTAACCTGGCAGTCATTTAACTAGCCCTAATAAGACTACCCTAGCTCTGAGTACCAGTTAAACTAACTTCTCTCTAAAGAACTTCCCTGCAAGTGCTACTTCTAAGTTGACACCTTCAACATCATATTTAAGAGTCGAAGATGTCAATATTGCTGAAGAGAGAACATACTATTCTCATAAAAGTTTTGTAAATAGAGTGAAGGAACTCAATGAAACTGACTTCATTACTTGCTCAAATGACAAAACCATCAAATTTTGGAAAACTACTTCTTGCAAAGAATACAGATCTCTGAAGGTTTCAGGATACGTATACTCAATTCTCCCCTTATATATCGAAGAGTCTCACCACTCTCTAATAGTTATTTCTTACGCTTTTGATTAACCAACCAACGGACATTTAAGTCTTTACGATTTAAATAAAAATGCTGTAAAGGAGAGATATAAGAATGCCCATAATGATATCATTCATAATATTGTACCTCTCTAGAATTTAAGTTTAAAGTACTTCGCTACTCAGTCAAGAGATGGTGAAATCAAGATATGGAAGACTCTAGAACTGATACCCATCATCTCCATATCTCAAACTTTTCCATAATACTTTTTTATGACCGAGTGCCTTTGTGAAATATAATTTGAGGCAAATAAGATTGATTTTCCTACTTAAACACTACTTGCAAGCGCTCAATACTCAGAAAACAAACTTAAGATTTATAAAGTAGATATCATGACTAAGACAGTTGAGAAAATGCTTACAATAGACACTGAAGGTATTTGCACAAGTGTATGCTAGCTATCTAAATCCTACATTGCCCTTGCTAGTAATGATATAATAGAAGTATGGAACTTGAGGACAGAAAAATTAGCAAATACCTTTGGAGGCCACACTGATGTAATCTTTAATCTTAAGGTACTTAGAGCTTCAGCTAGTATCTTCGCAAGTAGTTCAAATGACAAGACTATCAGGATATGGAAAGCAAATTAGAAATAGTGCTTAAAAATCATTGATACACTTTAACTTGGAGGAGTATACTCAATTGCAGAAGTTAATGGAAAATTGATAACTGCTTGCTAAGATCACACCATCAAATAGTATAAGATAGACTACTTAAAGAGATTTCAAACTGAGAAGTTCGATGACTATCTTAAGACTGTTAAATGGAGCATTAAAAACTAATATAACTGCTGATGATAAAACTACTTTGTAGAAGTATTGTTTATTTATTCAATTTTCAAGTCTATTATTTCAAAGCTATTCATAGTTCATGGGGTTTTGGGGTTTTGGGGAGATCGGAAGAGCAC